TGATCAATGAAATTTATCAAAAATCATCTATACAGTACAACCTCTCTGTCTTCTTCTTTCTTATCTCCACATTGGGTGAAGTAGAATGCGTCTGCCTTTGTCATTAAGACTGGGAGCACTACTCAGCGGCAGGCCGACTTAGCTCCAAAAGAAATGGCCGCCTCTGACATGAGGAAGAGACGCCATGTGCAGCCGCTCCTAACATGGAGTACAAACGCTGCTCATCCTGTATACCTGGATCAGGAGCCCTTACAGGGTACTATCAGCCGGGCCAGCTGAGCCCAGGTTTTTTAGTGAGCTTGTTATTGCTCCCCCTCCTCCTTTTTCATCCGGGCTTGGGACCGGCAAAGGCAGAGTCTGTAAAGGACAACACCTATTTGCAGAGCCAAAATGCTTTTTAGGGAGAGGTGTCCTCTTACTGGAAAGTTTCCAAATTAGTAAAAATAGTAATTTTTCCAATGAAAATTTTCCATTGTAGGAAGTGTCCACTCATGGAGGTTCTACAGTATATACATTATTTTCACCACATACATGAAAAAGAGTTAAAAACTTGATTTGATCAAACACACCCATCAATGTTCCAAGCTTTCTAGTTGGGAGAATAAGTGCCATTATTTTAATTTGCATACAGACCATTAAAGACTGGTTCGCAAAGTAAGCTGGTACTCTCATTAAATATCAAAATGATAAATAAGATAAAACAACCAAAGATAAATCTCATATAGCGATAATGCAATTTTTATTGAGAGAAAAAATTCATTAGAAAAATATACATGTGTTAAATATATTTTAAATATAGAAATATATACACAAGTATATATATATATACAATATTAGCATCAAACAATCTTTGATAATACAATCTGTCTCATAACAAGATTCTGTGACATTAAAACAACAAAACAATAATAAAGTATTAGAGCATTTGTTGAAACATTTTTTTTTGTCATTAAGAAAAACAAAGAGATATATAAATATTCATTTACTATTTACCAAGTAACCAATTGATACAATAATAAAAAATAAACACTTTATATAAACCACAATTTATATAATAAATAAATTTATTGCAGAAGTCTCATGAGAAAATATCTGAAATTAATTAGAGTAAAACCTCTCTGTAAAAGACCCTTAGTTGCAGAGCAAAAGTGTCCTTTAGGGAGAGGTGTCCTCTTACTGGAGAGTTGCTACATTAGAACCTCCTTGTAAAGGACAACACCTAGTTACAGAGACAAAGTGTCCTTTAGGGAAGGGTGTCCTCTTACTGGAGAGTTGCTACATTAGAACCTCCTTGTAAAGGACAACACCTAGTTACAGAGACAAAGTGTCCTTTAGGGAAGGGTGTCCTCTTACTGGAGAGTTGCTACATTAGAACCTCCTTGTAAAGGACAGCACCTAGTTACAGAGACAAAGTGTCCTTTAGGGAAAGGTGTCCTCTTACTGGAGAGTTGCTACATTAGAACCTTCTTGTAAAGGACAACACCTAGTTACAGAGCAAAAGTGTCCTTTAGGGAAAGGTGTCCTCTTTACTAGAGAGTTGCTACATTAGAACCTTCTTGTAAAGGACAACACCTAGTTACAGAGACAAAGTGTCCTTTAGGGAGAGGTGTCCTCTTATTGGAGAGTTGCTACATTAGAACCTTCTTGTAGAGGACAACACCTAGTTACAGAGACAAAGTGCCTTTAGGGAAAGGTGTCCTCTTTACTAGAGAGTTGCTACATTAGAACCTTCTTGTAAAGGACAACACCTAGTTACAGAGACAAAGTGTCCTTTAGGGAGAGGTGTCCTCTTACTGGAGAGTTGCTACATTAGAACCTTCTTGTAAAGGACAACACCTAGTTACAGAGACAAAGTGTCCTTTAGGGAAAGGTGTCCTCTTTACTAGAGAGTTGCTACATTAGAACCTTCTTGTAAAGGACAACACCTAGTTACAGAGACAAAGTGTCCTTTAGGGAAAGGTGTCCTCTTTACTAGAGAGTTGCTACATTAGAACCTTCTTGTAAAGGACAACACCTAGTTACAGAGACAAAGTGTCCTTTAGGGAAAGGTGTCCTCTTTACTAGAGAGTTGCTACATTAGAACCTTCTTGTAAAGGACAGCACCTAGTTACAGAGACAAAGTGTCCTTTAGGGAAAGGTATCCTCTTACTGGAGAGTTGCTACATTAGAACCTTCTTGTAGAGGACAACACCTAGTTACAGAGACAAAGTGTCCTTTAGGGAGAGGTGTCCTCTTACTGGAGAGTTGCTACATTAGAACCTCCTTGTAAAGGACAACCTAGTTACAGAGCAAAGTGTCCTTTATGAAGAGGCGTCCTCTTACCGGAGAGTTGTTAAATAGTAAAAAATGGTAATTATAATAATAAAAACTGTCCTTTGTAGAGAGGTTTTCTCTACCTGGAGTGTTCTCTCATGGAGGTTCTACTGTATATTTCAATACAACTAGAAGAAAGGGGGAGAGACACTGTGAAGTGCTGAATCCCTAAAAGACAAGGCCCCCTGGTGGTGAACGGGTAAAACAGTCATCATAAATGGTGATTAGCTGTTAAAATCCAATAAGCAGTCCCTAACCAAAAAAAAAAAAGCTCCAATCTTCAAGAATGGGAATGAGGCCACACCAGTGTACATCAAAATATACTCATGATTACATTTTCTATAATTACAATTAATTATATTATGATGCACTTGCGCGCCATCTGTTATCAAAATTCGAAACTATTTTAAAAGCGTAAGATTCTTTTTGAAATTAAAAACAATTTCTACTGCCCTTACTGCAATGGAAAAATTAATGAGAGGGCCTGGCTCATCAGTGGTGAACCCTCCCAGCGGTTTTGCCAGTTTAATCTACCATACCGCTGTTATATTGCATTTTTGGAACTTCCTTTTATAGTGATACTGATGCTTGACTCTTAGAATGGGTGTTTTAGATGAACTATGGACATAAGCTTTGAGGACAGTAGAATTACATATACAGTAAAACCCCTCTATAGTGAACCCCAATGGGACAGAGCTTTTGGTTCACTATAGCCACGGTTCACTATAGCCACGGTTTGGCCATTTTTTTTAACTTTTAAAAATTTTTAGACCATATAATTAAAGGACAGCCATACACACAGCAAGAGGCTTCCTCTTAATAGTGGTCACTTTATTTTAATTCACTTAATTGACTAATTTCCTTACATTAATACAGAATAATAATAGAAATCATTAGATGATAGGTTCTTCTTATCATTAACATACATGTACCTGTATGTCTAATTTAAAAATCATGACAAATCCTAGGCAAAGTTTTATTAAATATATATTCAAAGATATAAAATGATTTTAAAACATCTTTATCGCATTATATAATACAATGTTTACTTGGAAAAATGACTCTAATACCTTGTTGCTTGAAAGCACTCTTCAAGCATTGCACCATTCAAATAAAGTTAGTGTTTTTCTTCCATTTCATGTTTCCACATATTCTTCAAGGTCTAGATTTCGTTTTATAACCTGTCATGCAAAACATTGCTGACTTTAAAATCGCCATAGTTAATGGCATAAAAATAATTTTTGTTTCATCACAGGACCGTTTATTTGGACTTTTTTTTTGCCCTAAAACGTGCGATCGCGGCAAAAGTTGAGGTTGATTCCTCTTTGTAACAATTTTTAATAGCTTTATATTTTATCTTTTATAATATAAAAGTTATATTCTCTTATTTTAATATGTTCTTAACATTTTGCCTGTGTTGTTTCACTTTGAAAAGTTCTGAAAATGGCCTTTTTTTTTTAAAGAAATAACGTTTTTGTTTTTAAAATGACTTTGTTTTCTTCATTTTGGAAGCCATTTGCATTTTTTATATTTCAAATTTAATGGATGCAAAGATATTCTATTTAATAAAAAGTATAATGTGTAAAAATTTATACAACATACAGCAAAAATAAAGTGCAAAAATCAAAACAAACGATGCCGCTAAATTCATTGTTTTGAAATCGCGATCCGCGAGCTGAAACATGCTTAAAATTTTGTTGTTTTAATTTTTTTTTTAATTACAATTCTAAGTTCGTTATAAGCATAGTATTTTAAATAGATTTTATTATTTTGGGACCGAAAATAGGTTCGTTATAGGGGTAGTTCGTTATTCCTAAAATCGCAAAGTTCGTTATAACGATGGTATTTTTAATGGAATGGAATTGGGAATTGGCGTGGGTTCGTTATAAGGGAAGGCTCGTTATATCCAGGGTTCGTATTAGCGGGGTTTTACTGTAATTATAAATATATAATTAATTACCATTACTATATTGCAATAATATAAAATAATAAAAAGGAGCTTCTTGTGTTGAATATGTCTATTCCGCTAGATTTCGAACGACATCTTTCTTCAACGGGCCTGTTCACAGACACCTGTTGAAGAAAAGTGTCATTCGAAAGCTAGCAGAATATACATGTTCAAACTCCGCCTTTGCCGGTCCCAAGCCCGGATGAAAAAGGAGGAAGGGGAGCAGTAACAAGCTCACTATAAAACCTGGGTTCAACTGGCACAGCTGATAGTACCCTGTAAGGTCTCCAGGGATACAGGATGAGCAGCGTTTGTACTCCATGTTAGGAGCAGCTGCACATGGTGTCTTTTCCTCATGTCAGAGGCGGCCATTTCTTTTGGAGCTAAGTCGGCCTGCCACTGAGTAGTGCTCCCAGTCTTAATGACAAAGGCAGACACATTCTACTTCACCCAGTCATGATGGTTGTCAAGTCTCAAGTTCTACAAGCTTGATACCCTGATATGATTGAGTGGAGATAAGAAAGAAGAAGAAAACATGTTCTACAAAAGAAGCTCCTTTTTGTTCTTTTATCACAATATAATAATGGTAATTAAAAATTTGTTCTCTACAATTATGATTACAGTTGTTATAATTACAATTAATCAATAAGGTACAATTTTGTATTATCGATTAGAGAAAACACAATGTATAAGACCAAATCCAAAAAAAAAAAAAAAAAGTTAATAAATAGTATAATGATAACTACAGCACCCGGTGTTCCCAGGTGGTCACCCTCCCAAGTACTGACCGGGCCCAACATTGCTTAACTTCGGTGATCGGACGAGAACCGGTGTTTTCAATGCCTAGTATAATAATAATAAATTCATTAAAATTTGGATAATAGATCTTATTACTTTGTATTTCTATTCTATAATACAAATTTTACCATATTAATTACAGTAGAACCTCCTTTTAGCAGACACTTCTCTACAAAGGACAGTTTTCATTTGCAAAATTACCATTTTTACTATTTAGAAACTCTCTGGTAAGAGGACACCTATCTATAAAGAACACTTTGGCTCTGTAATTAGGTGTTGTTCTTTACAGGGAGGTTCTACTGTACTTGTAATTATTGAAAATATGATTGTTGTACCTTATGATAAACCATATTTTATGGTTTGGATTATAGATTATAAAACAAGGTAATAAGACCAAATCCAAATAAATAAATAGTGTGTGACGTTTCGGTAACAACGTTGTTACCGAAACGTCACACACTATTTATTTATTTGGATTTGGTCTTATTACCTTATTTCATATTTTATGGTTTATGATAAAAAGAGGAAACCATATATGCAAATCAGAATATATAATTTGCATATATAAAAACTTTTTATAAATAAAAGATGTTGAGGGAAGAGTTTCTTTTATATCACGACCAATATCCTTTACAGGGAGGTAGTTCTACTGTAGCAACTCTCCTGTAAGAGGACACCTCTCTCTAAAGGACACTTTGGCTTTGTAATTAGGTGTTGTCCTTTACAGGGAGGTTGTTCTACTCTATATATATAGATACATTTATTAGATTAACTTTATACTGAAAAAAAAAAAAATGCCATCACCCTTTCTTAATTTAAATAAAAGAAAAATTCATTGCAAATACTTTCAATTTTATTTATATTGTGAGATTTCCTTTACAATTTGTATCATCATTATATATTCTTTCAAGGTTTTTTTGTGTAGAAAAGAGATAAGTCTATATTACAATGAGAATAAGTTAGGTAATTGGTGACCATCAGCACATGAACTATTGTTAAGAGATAGAAGGAAAGGTACTGAGCACGCATTGAAAAAAAAAACATTAAAAATCTTTCAAAAAGGTTTTGTCAAATGCCATCACAATATTTATAAATTTACTGTCATAATTGGATTATAGATTATAAACACAAGGTAATAAGACCAAATCCAAATAAATAAATAGTGTGTGACATTTCGGTAACAGCATGTTTTGTCTGAAGATGGTAACAACACTGTTACCGAAACGTCACACACTATTTATTTATTTGGTCTTATTACCTTGTGTTTACTGTCATACTCTTAGATTTGTACATCAAAGGGATCAAATCAATGTGTGTTTAAAATCTTCATCAAATTAGAAAGGTTACCCATATTACAGTAGAACCTCCTTGTAAAGGACAATACCTAATTGCTGAGCCAAACTGTCCTTTAGGGAGAGATGTCCTCTAGTGTGAGTATCCTTTCATGGAGGTTCTACTGTATTTTCTAATATCAGTGTATTCCCAGAAATTCTAGGTGAAAAATACCTAAATTTTGTCTCCCATGAGAGACCATTTAAACTAGGAAACATGGCTATATACCTGGTCTATCCTGGAGGTAATCTCTTATCAGAATGTCTGTCATGTCAGATCAAGTCATGAGAATGATAAAGCACAATTTGGATTATAGATTATAATACAAGAAAATAAGACCTAATCCAAATAATTTATTAGTGTGTGACGTTTCGGCAACAACATTGTCACCATTATCAGACAAAAGAGTAACAATGCTGTTGCTGAAACGTCACACACTAATAAATTATTTGGATTAGGTCTTATTTTCTTTTATTACAAGTCATGAGAAGTTCTGGAATATCTGTAAGTACAAAAGTCAAACTGCTTTTCACATGTGTAGACATATGCTCAACTAACAGTGAAAGCAGTTGCCTACTTTTACTCACCATGATTATCATGGACTGTACCACGTGTACTAGGGGGATAAGCAAAAAAAAAAGTCATGAGGAGTCTTTCAAGTGAATCTCTGGTGAGAGACCATCTCCAGGAGAGAATAGATTTTAGCCATGTTTTTTAGGCTATGGTGTCTTATGTGGTAGACTCTATGATCTCAGTATAGAGAGGGATTGCCAATATAGAAATAGAGAATGATAAAGCACAATTTGGATTATAGATTATAATAAAAGAAAATCTCAAGCTTGACACCCTAATATTATTGAGTGGAGATAAGAAAGAAGAAGAAGATAAAAGAAAATAACAACAACAAAAAGCCTTTATTTTGGGTCACTGACCCTATACAGGATTCACCAGAGGTATGCATAAGAACAAAGCAGTGAGACAAAGGAAACAACGATATGATAAAAGAAAATAACACCTAATCCAAATAATTTATTAGTGTGACGTTTCGGCAACAACATTGTCACCATTTTTTATTATTTTGTCTGATGATGGTGACAATGTTGTTGCCGAAACGTCACACACTAATAAATTATTTGGATTAGGTGTTATTTTCTTTTATTAGAAATAGAGAATTATGAAGATAGAAACTCCGCCTTTGCTGGTCCCAAGCCCGGATGAAAAAGGAGGAGGCGGAGTAGTAACAAGCTCACTAAAAAACCTGGGCTCAGTTGGCCCGGCTGATAGTACCCTGTAAGGGCTCCTAATCCAGGGAAACAGGATGAGCAGCGTTTGTACTCCATGTTAGGAGCGGCTACACATGGCATCTGTTCCTCATGTCAGAGGCAGCCATTTCTTTTGGAGCTAAGTCGGCCTGCCACTGAGTAGTGCTCCCAGTCTTAATGACAAAGGCAGACACATTCTACTTCACCCAGTCATGATGGTTGTCAAACAGACACCATCACGGGTCACAACTTGATATCCTAATATGATTGAGTGGAGATAAGAAAGAAGAAGAAGAAGACAAAAGAATGATGATGGTAACAATGCTGTTATTGAAATGTTACACACGATTTATTTATTTGGCTATAAAATCTAACATCCAAATGGGGTTTGTCAAGTATAGTAAATACAAGAAAAGAAAATAAGACCTAATCCAAATAAATTGATAGTAGTGTGACATTTCTGTAGCAACACTGTTACCGAAACATCACACACAATTAAATTATTTGGATTAGAGGTCTTATTTTCTTGTAGCTATAATCTATAGTCCAAATTGTGCTTTTCAAGTGTAGTAGATACAAGAAAAGAACCTAAAAGACCTAAAATACAAATAAATTAATAGTGTGTGACGTTTCAGTAACAGTGTTGTTACCATCATCAGACAAAAGAATAATGATGATGGTAACAGAATTGTTACCGAAACGTCACACACAATATTAATTTATTAGGTGTTTATTTTCTTGTAGCTATAAAATCTATAATACAAATTGTGCTTTATCAAGTATAGTAGATAACAAGAAGACCTAATCCATATAAATTGATAGTCTGTTACTGATACGTCACACATGATTTATTTATTTGGATTAGAGGTCTTAAGTTGTAGCTATAATCTATAATCCAAATTGTGTTTATCATAATAAGACCTAATCCAAATAAATTAATAGTATTGTGACGTTTCGGTAACAGCATTGTTACCTTCATCATTATTCTTTTATCTGATAATGGTAACAGAATTGTTACTGAAATGTTGCACTATTAATTTATTTGGTGTTTATTTTCTTGTAGCTGTAATCTGTCATCCAAATTGTGCTTTTCAAGTGTAGTAGATACAAGGAAATAAGACCTAAAATCCAAATAAACCGATAGTCTGTGACGTTTCGGTAACAATGCTGTTATTGAAACGTCACACCAGATTTATTTATTTATTTGGATTAGGTCTTTTAGGTCCTTGTAAGTATAAAACCTATAGTCCAAATTGTGCTTTATCAAGTGTAGTAGATACAAGAAAAGAACCTAAAAGGCCTAAAATCCAAATAAATTGATAGTGTGTGACGTTTCAGTAACAACATTGTTAACATCATCAGACACGATTAATTATTTGGATTAGAGATCTTATGTTCTTGTAACTATAAAATCTATAGTCCAAATTGTGCTTTATCAAGTGTAGTAGATGTAGTATGGATGGGCAACAGTAGTGAAGGAGGCAATGGCCTACGTGGTGATGTCTAGTCATCTTCTTCTTGCCTTATCTTCAGGTGACAGAGAGTCCTGGCCAGGACCTTGCGGGAGATGGGGGTATGGAGACTGCTTACAGCCAGGATGAGCTGGTTGGTTAGCAGCTTGGGGAACATCTTCACCAGCAGAGGCACCAGTCCCAGAGGCATAAACTGAAGGATCAGGAAGGAGTTTTCCTTTGCGCAGAGTACCACTTGTTCGAGGAAGGATAGAGGGAAGAGTGAACGCTGACAGATCTTGGCGTCTCCTGCAATGCTGAAGAGGATCTTCATCAGGTCTTGGATGGCTTTCTTCATTGGCTCAGGGACATAGTACCTCTTGTGGTCCTCGCTGCCTGAGGATTGGAGACAGTAGGGAGTGTCCTCCATCAACTCTGCATCGTTGACGCCCCTTCTGATCTTGTTGGACCGCAGAACACGTTCTGGCTGGTCGCTAATCTCATTGATGTCAAAGTCCTTGTACTTCTGGCCAAAACACTTCCCAGAGAAGGTGGAGTATGGGTACTTCATGGATTGTAAGGCGGAGTAAGTAGCAAGTACTGTAAGCCTGGCTAGTGCTGAGCCTTTAGGCTCTACTAGTAGGTCCTGCTTGGATTCAAACTGCAGGAAGTTTGGTAGGATATAGAGAAGGAGGGAGAGTGCGCACTGCTCAATGTCCAGGTGCATCATGCCCAGCGCAAGGTTCACTGCGCTATGAAGGTCAGAGCAGTATTCAAACCCCAGTGCAAAGTTGACCAGCTTCTGGCAGAACTGTTTGGGACCTCCAACATCCAAGATGGAGTTGAGCGTGTAGATATCTTCAGGGTCAATCCAACTCCGATTCTTGGATTTCTGGAAAATGTCACCAAGGAGGTCCCACAATGGGGTCTTCACGGTCAGGCTATGGGGGACAAAGGTGAGGGCCTTAGACTTGGATTGTACAGGAGGGTGAAGTTCATACATCATCTTACGG